TGTCCATTCCTTTACAAAGTACTATAGGATTAATAAACTAGCCTTGGCAAAAGCAGTATTTGACAGTAGAGGGCTCCTTCAGGCCCTGCAGGCACCGGAAGTTGTGTGACCCACCCGGGGGGAGCACTGCTTTTTTTCGGAGGTGGCTTTCGGTATGACTGGGGATCAGAGGATAAGCCCCTCCCCTCTGGGATCAAAGTTTGCCGGCCCTGCCTATGGAAGGGGGAGGTGCTTTCCCAGGAGTAAGGAGTCAAGGACTGCCCCACTCCTGGACCACCGGAGAACGGAAGATTTGTATTCACTTACCGTGAAGCTTCCTTCTCGGTGGTCCAGAGTGGGGCAGTCCTACCCACCCTCTCTTGTTGGACACGACTTCCGGTCCATTTATGTTTTGCAGTTGTTCAGCTGTTCGTGAATATGGTCTAAATGATTACGTGATGTGGCGGACTGTTGCTGTTTCTTTTCTCTAATGGTTAAAATACTGGTTTGTATTTGTTTAAGCCCGTGGCTGTGATGGTATTCCCTGGTTGTCTGAGGGGGAAGGAGTTCTTTTTTAAGTGTATTTACAGCAGCTTGGAGGTGGCTTTCGGTATGACTAGAGATCAGAGGATAAGCCCCTCCCCTCTGGGATCAAAGTTTGCCGGCCCTGCTTATGGAAGGGGGAGGTGCTTTCCCAGGAGTAAGGAGTCAAGGACTGCTCCACTCTGGACCACCGAGAAGGAAGCTTCACGGTAAGTGAATACAAATCTTCCGTTTTCACAGCCATAAGGGCTATAAACTTGATTTCTTGCTAAGAGAAATGGAAGTTGGGATTTCTGGAATTTGGAAAACCGCACTTGACAATAAATAGCATATCTGAATGATGCAACAGTAGAGCAGACACATTCCTGGGTACAAATTTTGTATCTAAGGATAAACAATGGAAGGATGGCGTAGGGTGGTCCTGCGGACTTCTTACTTAATATTTGCAGTCCCTTAAGGAAATTCCTTTTCCCACTGTTTGGTGCTTGTTTCCCCACCACTTTGCGGGAACACCTGCAGCCAAGATGGGCAGGGCAAAATGCCTGTGGGTCTCCTTCGTTTCCTGGTTTCAGATGGATCTGTTGTGGAGCTAGCATCCATTTCTCTAGCTGGGAGACAGACAGCCAGTCATACTGGATAGCCCACCTGCATCAAAGATTCCCCACAGTGTATGAATTCAGCATTTAGGACTCTTCCTATATTCTTACATTCAGATGAAGTCAAGTCTACTGTGAGAATGGAAAGAAGAGAGCATGCTATGGAGTGCAGAAGGAAAAATAGTAGGCTGAGAATGGGTTAAAGGTGGAATAAGACCGCTTTTCTATGGTCAATGGCACAGTGTGGCCCTTCTGAATTAAAAAATGCAAGAGTGTTTCTCAGTGGTTTTAACATTGTTCCCCTGGCCCAGGGCTGCTTTAGTAACTAAGGTGAATAGCCTAGCTGAAGCTGGATAATACTACAACAACAAAAGGACCACGGTGTGGAAGGCAATATTCAAATACTAAAGTACTGTGGACAATGAATTGTATATTAAGATTAAAATAAACAATAAATTCAAATATTGTTTATATGTTACATGTTTATTTCAATCTTAATATACAATTCATTGTACACGGTGCTTTAGTATTTGAATATTGAACCTGGATAATCGCAGACTAAATTATCAGCTTTGATTTGCCAGTCTGATAGTCTGAGGGAGGGTTGGTAGCTTGTGAAGTTCTTGATTGAACCGGATCTCTTGGGCTGCAGAAGCCATGCTGCTGGCTGTGCTCTTAACTGATCACCTTTTCCTTACATCACAACCAGGCCTTTCTAGATGCCTGTCAGTTATGGGTCAGAAATACTCTGCTTAGTTGTACTCGGGCTTTCAGTTCCAAACTCTAAGGCCCCATTTCTTCTTTTCTGCTCACAATGCCATACCGAGGAGGTGCTCAAGTCAAATCATGGTGAGTGTTTGTTTCTAGAACTTGAGAAGGGCGTGTGTGGGAAGGGTGCATGGGTGAATTAGTGCTATAACATCATGGCTGTGAAGACAAAATACCTGAGGAAAAGGAGCCGTTCAAGGGAGGGTGATAGCAGTTGGAAATGAACTCTGAAGAGGTGGCATAGAAATTCCCTAAATGAATGAATGAATGAATGAATGAATGAATGAATGAATGAATGAATGAAAGTATGGCTTACTTGAGGAGAAGGCAGGTCTCCAAGATGGGACTACATGGTGGGGTGAAGAAATGTTGGATACTGGTAGAATGAGGGGAAGGGAACTAAAGAGATTTTCCAGAAGCCTTCTCCAAGTCAATAGGCATTTTCTAAAATATATGCTTTCATCCTCCCCATTTTTCTTCTACTTTCACAGGGAGAAATTGTAGATAATATAGAACTCAACATGATGCACACCATAGATCATGTAGAGAAAGCTCGTGAAGAAACCAAAAAGGCCTTGAAATATCAGAGTAAGGCACGCAAGGTGAGCCTCTCCCATGGACTACCCGCTGTGTGCCATCAGCCACCTAGCTTAGCTGTCTTACAATTTCTGCCTCTGCCTCTTTGTCTTGCTTCCACCACTTCACTTTTTCTGCAAGGGAGCTATGATTGACCGCATAGAGAGCAACATGGACCAATCGGTAGGCTTTGTGGAACGGGCTGTTGCCGACACCAAAAAGGCTGTCAAATTTCAAAGTGAAGCACGAAGGGTGAGATTAACTGTTCAGAACCCACCCACCTCTTCTCCTTTTTAGATCCCCCCCCCAGTGCTTTTAGAGTTGTGTTGCTTAACTCATATTCTGCCAGCTGTTGGGGTCCCTACATTGCTGTCAAAGTATATTTAACCCTGGCTCTAGATCCGACCTCTTTCCCTTCCATCCACTTACTATTCTCCGACCCACTCTGTGACCCTTTTCGTTTCTGCAAGGAACCATGTGACTAGCTAGCACTGTGAAGTACACCACCCTTGATTCCACTCTGTTCCGCCAGTGTGAGGAAGGTCTCTTCTTTCACAGTTCCTGAATTCTTTAGGGAGTCCTCTAAGAACCTGAGCATCGAACTCCTTTAATGGGCCCGCCTGGGTTATGACTTGCGCTGCTTTGGGCTCTACTTTCACTCTTTTGTCACTGTTTGTGTGCCAAGCTTCATCCTCATTTAATTTATTTATTTATGTCTACATTTATATCCCGCCCTACCTCGAAGGCTCAGGGCGGCTAACAAGGGTATTTAAATTTTGATACCTTGCACGGAAGTTCTGATATAGCAATTGGTATGGGGTAGCAAGGGTTGCCAGTTGCCTGGTCTCTGGTACTACCTCTAAGAGCTGGGTGACAGGTTGAAATTAAATTTGCAAAACTTTGCCTGGGGAGGTGATGTGGCAGCAGAAAGGCTCTGTGTGTGTGTGTGTGTGTGTGTGTGTGTCATAGCAGCTACGAAGGCCCAGGGGCACTGCTGGAAGACAAGTGGCAACGCGGGACGGGTTGTGCTCTCAGGGCTCCCACTTCTCCTCTTCCTCCTCTGGGAGCGGAGGAATTAAATGGCTGAGAACATCCTCCACCCCGTGGATCCGTCTGTCTTCCTTGCCCTTCCTCCAGGGAGCTCAGGGCAACACACGGACTTCCTCCCTGCTGCCATTTTTGTCCTCACAACACCTCTGTGCGGAAGTGCGCTTGCACTCCCTACAATTGCTGTAATGCTGAAAAGTGATGAATGTGGGGGACTTGGGGAAAGGCAACTGAAGTGCTGTGATTCTGGGGGTCAATCATGACAGGGTACTTTCTCTGATTTTCGTTATTTTTTTAAAAATGGTAACGTATACCCAATAGCTGATATTTAGGGACAGGTAGAGATCTTGTTTTTCAATATCCAAGACAAATTTAGAATACCAAACTTAGCTGAGTTATGTCTTACAACCACAGTCGGGTTGTATTCAATCTCCTTTAGCCAATGACACCAAGGGGTCAATCACACATGTGCATTTATTGCTCTGTATTCATTATGTAATGGCTTGCAACTAAATGCGTGACCTCCCTCCATTGAATATATTTGCGTTTGTCTGACATAATGTGTTTGATCCTTGATGGCTATTCTAGCTCACGTGGCTCATTGCTTGACATTACAATCCATCAAGTAACAAACATGCAGATGTGAATTGGCCTTAACGAGACTACAAATCAAGCCACACACCAAGCATTCAGACTCCGTTTTCCAAATCTGTTATTGCTTATTGCAGAATTTTCTTTTCTTTTTTTACCTTTTCTAGAAAACAATCATTATCATTGTGGTAGTGATTGTCTTGCTGGGAATTGTAGCTCTGATTATTGGACTTGCCGTAGGGCTGAAGTAGCCCACCGGGCTGCTGGCTCTGAACCGTAAGTAGTTTGGGGGAGCAGATGGGCCCTCTATCTCTTGCACTGTTTCCTCAGCCTCTTCTGCCACTTCTGACTGTTGAAAGAGTTCTTAGTATCTTGGACCACTGGTGAATGCTGTGACACTAACGGTTGGGGTGATGATTGACTTGCCTAACCTCAAAGTCCAAGTTCATTTTATGCTGAATTAAAAAAAGAGGGAGCAATTGAGTTCTGTTTGCCTACAGATGCTTTCCCAGCAATGTGTGGGTTAGAGTAGGAAGTAGCTGGTATTCTGAGCCTCCCAGATATTGTGACCAAGGGCAGTGATCTTCAACCTGCAGGATCTTCAGATAGGTCACACAACCCCCCAACACAGTTGCCACTTTCTGCTGCTTTTTGGAAATACTGGCTGCTAGCATGTATACAGAGAGTGCCCCATGCCTCGTGCCTCTTTGTAGACAAGCTGAGCACAGCAGGGTGGTTCAGTGAGGAAACTCAGTGGTGGAAAGGATTTCTTTTTAGCATCATGGACACTTTCAAAGGCCCTGGCTTCTCCTTTTCTGGTCACATGCTTTTACAGCTAACTGGGGCTTCTGCTTCTGCCTATGGTTAAAGTGGGTCGCACCTATGCAAACTCTAAAGACCACTGGTCATGAGAAAGAGAAATAATGACTCGATTACCTGCTTCATATCATTGTTCCTTTGTTAATTTGACTTGACATAATTTATTTGGTGGTTCTGCAAAAATGGGGCTTTCTTGAAAAATCTGGTTCATGCAACCTGTCCTTGGTTCCTGAGGTTTCAGCAGACGCCAGTCAGAGTACTGACATTCTCAAAGCCTTTTCATCAATTATGAGCGCTCGCAATAGTGTAAGAAATCCAGCTTCTTTGGATAGGAACAACTTGAGTGTAGGAATGCTTGTTTTGGGATTTTGGCCTACGTCCTCTGAAACGCAAGAGTCCAGGAGCACCTTCAAGGCTAACAGAATAGGTGGCAGGGTAGGAGCTTCACTTGTTCAGATACCAGAAGAAGTGAGCAGTGACTCACGAAAGATCACACCCTGCCACATATTTTGTTAGCCTTTAAAGTGCTACCGGACTCTTGCTCTTTTCTGCTGCTACAGACAAACATGGCCACCCATCTTGATTGTACTCTAAAATGCACTATTACACTCAGGGGTCATTTCGTAGAAAGAGAGGTGCAGGAGCTCATTAGCATAGCTCATTAGCATAACCTATTTGCATATGCCACACACCCCTGACATCACCGGAAGTGTGTCAGAAGGCAACACCCACCGCTCAGGCTCCGCTGGACTGTTTTGGATTGCTAGCTGTTGGGGGGGGGGGACGTGCAGATCTGCCCTCGCAGAGGAGGGAGAGCTTGTACCTGAATAAAACTTGATCTTAAAGGTGCCACTGGACTGTTTTGGATTGCTAGCTATGGGGGGGGACACACGCAGATCTGCCCTCACAGAGGAGGGAGAGCTTGTACCTGAAGGCAGGCCGGGGAGGGGGCTCTGCAACTTACCTGGCTGCTTCTTGTGGCCCTCCAGGGCTGCAGGGAGCAGGGGGTGGGGCTTGTTGCATGTGCCCGCCCCCTGGGCTCCTTACTGCCGGAGCTCTGCTCCTGTGAGCTCCTGCAGGAAATGACCCGATTACACTTGAACTTTGCATGTTGCCTCTTGAGCTTTTGATTCTGAGCTGTTTCTTACAATTTGGGATGTGATGTGTGCGAGGGACATTATTGTTCTAGCAAGCCTGATAAAGGCTTGCTAGAGATGCATGTGATTCCTGCAGTTTCCCCAGCAACCTTGGCTAGAAGTCACTGAAGAGATGACTCTCTTGTTTTAACATCAGTCTTTCCCAGAAGTTTGCTTTTGTTCTGCTGTTTCTGAGGCTCCTATGCAGCATGCTTATGTGTTTAATGCTTGTTGCGTACTGATGCATGTTCTCACTGCTCTATTGATAGGCAGCTTCACACTGCGTTTGCTGAGCCTTGGTCTGAAGTCTGCTGCAAGGCCATCTGAGGATGTGACATTTCACCAGTGTGAAGATATTAGTTCTCCCCGTCCCTTTCCCTGCTCTAGCATCCTGCTCTAATGATCTCACTAACTCACTTGGAGTCAGTATGGGGCTGTAGACTCTAGCCCAGGCAAGCCTGATCTCATCAGATCTCGGAAGCTAAACAGGGCCCACTCTGGCAAGTCCTTGGATGGGAGACCTCCTTGGAATACCAGAGGCGGGAGCAGGGTTTATGCAGCCACCTCTCTGGATATCCTCCAGGCCCCCAGTAGGGGTCAGTCACCAGAGGTCGCCGTGATTTCCAGGTGCACACAGAGACACACATATGAAAAATTACCCCCCCCCCACTCCTCCACATGAAGCCTGCTGGATGATCTTGGGCCAGTCAGAGTTTTCTCAAGTCCCAACTGCCTCACAAGGGGACCGTTCTGGGGAGAGGAAGGCAACTGTAAGTTGCTTTGAGACTCCTTGAGGTAGAGAAAAGTGGGGTATAAAAACCGACTGTTCTTCTTCACTCAAAGGAAGCACCTCTCCTGTTCCACGGCCACGTCCTCTATTCCTTTCCACTGAACGGACCGTAGTAGCTGAGAGGCTCGTGGGAGGTGTGGAGCAGCAAGAGAAGGGACTGTCTCCCTGTAAACTGCACAGGGGAGTACTGACTCCCGTGCTGTCCTGTCCTATAGAGACAAGGCATTCCCATGAGAAAGAAAAACTGGCTGCTCATTCCTAGGTGAGAATTAATTTTTCCCACTCGGTTCTCTTCCTTCCTGCAGATACTCCTTGAACTCTTCCTGGATTGGTAGCAAGACCTTCCCTCCTGATCCACATCACTGTGCGGTGACCTTCCCTCGCCCTACCCTCCAGCCTTGCCTCCTTGGATTTAGTATGAATTGTTCCTTGCAGGAGGGACCTGCGTGCACCAGCACTTGTTGCAAGAGCCACATGATGCTCTGGCTCACTCCTTGAATGAAGCGCCACAGCCAGAAGATTCTAATGTAATTTGTGCAGCCAGAGAGATCTTGTGACATCCTGGAGGGAACCCCCATAAAACCTGCTCCTTCCACCCCTCCCATCCCTCCCTCTCTTCCGGCTGTACCTGCTGCCTCCAGTTCCAAGTCCTTCCTGGTGTCATGTTGTTAAGCTTCCATCCTTCCAGAATTTTCTCCAATTACAATGGAAAGGACCTTAAAAATGTTTGGAGACACTATTGTCTACCTCATCACTTTTTGTTCTAGCTTCAGATTCAATGTTTTTAACAGGTTAAGCATCTTTATGAAGTACACCAGAGGTTGTTACTTGTTAAAATTGCCAACATTAGGGGCCAAGGATGAAACCAGTGCCTGCCACATACTTGCTAAATCCCATGCCCTTGGACACTGAGGCTGGCTTTCTACTGTCTTTGAATGATGCCCAGGTCTTGCAATGCTTGCAAGGTTCAAAAGCCTGCCAGAGCCGCCACAGCACACAGTGTCCTACCAATGCCAAAGAGTGGCCAAGTGCAAGGAGGAGTAGTGCTGGGTCCTTAGTAGGGTAAACTGTTCTATGACATTTGCAGAGCTTTGCACCAAGCCAGTCTTGGGGAGATACAGGCAGTTAGGCTAAGAGGCAGACGCACGAAAACAGCAGGGTCTTCAAGCCAGGGTTCCCAAATCAGGCTAGGAATTGTATACCACCTATGGAAGGTAGCCTTGAGAATGTGTTGCCAATGGGTAGCAGGCTAATTTTCTAGATCTGAGCTAGAAGAATCGTGTTGCCTCAGATCAGACTAATGAGCATTGCAGTAGAATGTCTGAGCTTTACGGCACCTGCAACTGTTGTATGTGTGAAAAGAAAGCTGTCCTTGGAGGCAGACCAGTTCATTATTGTTTGGAATATAATCATGTTTCTGAATGGGGTGCAAATCGTGAATGCCTGTGTGGTGCTAAATGTGTGATTTATGTCTGGTTTCCCACAATCTGTATTTTTTTTCCAGTTTGAGGGTGTGAAGAAACTAATAGCCAGGTTGGTTTTGTAGTGTTATATTTTGTGAAGGGTTTCCACCTACAGCCACATTTTATCCATTGCGCAAATCACTGATTTGTAAATAGGTCATTTCATAGGCTAGATACAGAGAGAAATATCAGATTAGCTACTTAGCTTTATCTTCTAAGAATATAATTTTAGACTTGGATCTTGCATGATAAAATTCCTCTCCAAGGTTTGTTAACTTTATGTTGCTTTGTGTAAAAAAACATGCTACGATATTTCTGTTCACCAGGTCTATGGCCACTCACTGATTGGTCCTCAGCTTTAGACTTCTGCAGGTGTCAGTCACAGAAATGGGAGTGCATATGCATAAAGAATATATCTTTGTTTCCTTTAAAATATTAAAAGAGTGAGGGAGTTGGTTTCAAATAGCAAAATCTAGTTGTGGCTGAAAAGTTAAAACCCCTATTCCTTCCCTGCGTGGCCCCAGTGCAAATTAAGGCTGCACAGGATGGAGATGTTGACCCTTCATCAAGTCTGATTTTACCTGAAGAGGAATCTTCTATATTGCAGTTACCCTTTCTTTCAGCATCAGTAGTGTTATTGTTTGGGGCGATTCCTTTTATATTGGGAAACTGGAGGTTTGGGGGCAGATGAGAGAGATTCCCAGGGTAGAGGGCTTTAGTTTCTGTTTATGTGTCTGTGGCAGCAGCATCCAAACTAGAAAGCTAATTTTTTTGGTCCTGCTGTATTCCATGGGAGATTACAATTAAGAATGTGTCTCCTGGAGATGGTTACTAGCAAAATCTGGCTGGTCCAGTTGTGCTTCTGCGCTAGCAGCATCATTCACATTTACCCAGCATCTACCCGAATGTAACTCAGCACTCCTGGCAAATGCACTTGTGTGACCCTTCCAGCCATGCCCATGGATGGAGCTAAGAGGGGGGAGTTTCTCGTACCTTCCTTTTCTCTAGGCCTTGATGTCTTAATTGGGAGGTGGCAGCACTATTGTGCAGTCAAAGAGATGGTGAAATGACCATGTAGGAGATGTCACAGTATCAGTGGGGTGTGTGTGTGTTTTTAAAAAATGCCAAGAAGGAACATGGAATTTCAGAATACTGAGCTGCCTATGGACAGCAGGATCCTATGAATTTGATCTTCTCTAAACTTTTGTTAATGAAGATTGTATTTTTTAAATTTAAAAATAAATGAACATATTTCAACATTGCAAGCTGTAATTGAATGAATTTCAGGACATACAGGGTTGGATCCAGACTATATTTCCCATCCGTGGAGCTGAACTTTCCTGCCTGCCTGCTCCCACTGATTGCCACAAAATGGACACTGGGCGGTCCTGAGGAATGACATGGGGGAGGGGCGTGTCTGCAGTGGGAACAGGGAACTGCCAGCTTCGTTTGGATCCCGCCCACAAGCCTTTGCGCTAATTGTGAGGGGTGGTATGCATTTCCCTTGGCCTCTATATGGCTTTGCAATGCAGGAGTGGGTGGGGTGGGGGATGGAGAGCTGTCTCTAGGCCCAAGTGGAATACAGAGCCTGACTGAATTTTCCTCGCCTGTAGTGTCTATGCTAAAATCCTTTAGGGAAGACCATAGTGATGGTTGTGTTCTTCTCCTAGTTTTAGAACTTGTACACTTCTTCCTTCTAGACCACTTTAGTGGTGGACCTAAAATGGAAGGGGTGCTTCTGCATTGTTCAAAAGTGGAGAACTGCGGCGACAACTGCATTAGCACAAATGGAACACTTTCAGCACCATCTAAACCTGTGAAAGAACAGTCCTCGTGACCCTCTGACTCCCCCCCTTTGCCTGAAGTGTCCTGTCTTCTGGTCCATACCTTTTGCTCCTACAAAAGGTTGTCCCTCTTCCCCAGTCCATTCTGATGTCTGAGTGTACCATTATTCATTTTCCCTCTTGCTGAGCAGAAGAAGATTATGATCATGATCTGCTGTATCATTCTCGTCATCATCCTGGCCTCCACGATCGCAGGCTTTGTTGTCTGAGCACCCGGGTCCTAGTCCCTCGCTACTTGCCTCAGGTGAGTTGCATGGAGGTGTATAAACACACTGTCTACATGTATGAATTTCTGTGCTACCTCTCGGCACTCATGTACCCTGGGGCTGATGTTGATTGCTGTGTTATGTCTCTCCTTATGGTCCTATTTTTCCAACTAGCCTAGTCAACTCCAGCCATGGTGTTCTAGAATGCCTAATCAGATAATACAAAAAAATAGGCATGATTTGGAAGCGAAGGAAAAGTAGTGTCACCTCTGTGCAAACTAGTTCAGCTGGCAGAAGAAAAAACCTGTGTGTAGAAACTGAGTATTAAAACGAGCTGTGAGGACTGCAAGCATCCTGTTCAACTCTTGGAATAAAGAAAGAATGACCTGTGTCATTCAAGGTTCCACAGTCCTAGTTGCACTAGAGTACCACTAGCTCTGAGAGTACTACCAGTCCTAATTGCATTGGAGTACCACCAGCTCTGCATCTTTTTCCCTGTTAAATTCCATGCCTTTTCTTTTCTCCAGGGTGGCTGTGCAAGATGGCTTCTCTTCTTTCAGTTTCTCTGGGTCCTACAATTGCCACCACTTCATCTTCATGGAGGGGTTGCAGCCAATCATTTACCCTTCAAAATGTTGTAACTGGACATGAAAAAGGGGCAGAAGGAGCCAGAGCCAGTGTCCCAAAACAGAGCATAAGCATGGAGGTCAATGAGATGAGAATGTATGAAAGCGGTTACCGCAAAGGGGAAAAATTCTTCATTTCTTGCTCCAATCAAGCTTCATTTTTATTGGTTCATTTTCTTCACTGTGTCTCAGAATTCTTACTGAAGATCCAGCCTGTTTATGATGGCTCCTTCTGCCCAATGGATCATTTCTGTAGTGAAGCCAATTCTTTGAACGGCCCCTTAAAGGGATCATGTACTTAGTGGACAAAGTTAACCACTTACCATTTGCTTTACAGCCTGTATAAAGTACTCTTAAGATAGGGATGGAAAACCTCCGGTACCTGGTTGCCTACGAATTGGAGGCATTTTCGCAGCTGTGCATTTTCTATGCTCAGACTATGTTGAAAGAAAACTGCATTTTACTGTAGCCCCCACTTGGGTGTCCTGAAGGTGTAGACTTGAGCTTCTTAACAAAGGTATTCCAGCTCCATACCTGCTAAGCAGTGTTGCTGTGCAGGACCCTGTTATGCATGTGGCTCTAACTCCCATAGCTATATACCTATAGGCTGTTCCTTCTGCTGTATGAGGGTCAGCATTCATGAGGCTCGAACTGCAGGCATCTATAGCGAAGTCATAAGACAGACACCCCTAGTTAAAAACACTAATAGGTAACTGGACACCAGTTGCATTAACACGTATAATTTATACTGCAGTTCTGGAATATATTTCTCAATGTACTGGAAGAACGCTTGTCACTTTATATACCTTTAAAATATATTTATGAACGATGATGTGGTTTTCTTCTTTTAGTCACTTTCTGATAAGGATGTGGCAGGAGCATTAGTTCCTTTACACTGGCCCGTGATATTTCATGGGATCCCTCGGAAGCTGGGGAAGACCCTCCGGTTTCTCACCTTCATTTTGTGAAGATTCAAAGGAGAGGCACTTATTCAGAGTTTCTCTCAACTGTGGCTTATGCACCATCACCTGCTGCTGTACAAGACACGTGGGTTGTTAACCAAAGGAGCCTCCTGAACAAAGAGCTTTTTTCACTGACCTGGTATGATAAGTAAGACAGACCAGGTGACAGACACTGTCCACAGGCTACCTTGGATTTTTCTCCTCAGCCCCTCTTCCTGCTTCAGTTTAGAAAAAAAAGGAATGAGTTGGTTTTTGAGTTTACCAGCACTGTCCAATAGAACCACCCTCTTTAGTGCCTTTGTAATTTGTAGCCTGCTGCTATTTAGTCAATGGGGCTACCAACTGGACTACCAGGAGGCTGTGCCAGCGCAAACAAATTTGTTACGATATTCAGATGAAGGCTCTATCACCCCTCCAATATTGCTTTAAAAAGAACTTGTAAAGCCTGTTTTTACAATCGTAGAGCACCTAAACCCATGTCTAAATATACTATCTCATCTATCATTCATCTAAGTTGTCCAAGATTCTGCATGTACTGTAAACCACCACTTCTGGTACAAGTTCCCGTGGTCTTGCATGAAACACTAAAACAGGCACCCATGCTAGGAAGTATTTATTTACCCAAAACCTATTAATATAACCCAACATATTTTCCTAATTTGTACAGCCATTTGTTTTCCAAGGGAGCCTTTTGCTTAATCCATAAAGAACATTCTGTTTTCTTTGATTAAGACTGCAGAGCAGCCCATCTGTTGCTATCACAGCAAAAGAGCCCCTCATTCATTTCTACCTTTTTATACTCTGTCCGGTAAAAAGAACTTTCCCCAATAGCGGCCCTTCAGTTGCAAGTCATAGGGGCTCAGAAACTTCCTCATCCCTAGCATATTGGATGTGATAATGCGTTCAAAAGTCCACGGATTCTGGTTGTTTTGCCTTCTCTCTTCTTCCTTGTCCCGCATCTCCTGCATGGACTCTCGGCTGACTGCTATGGCTGGGAAAGGCAGCTTTTGGGCCACTTGGGTTAAGAAGCGCTCTACCTCACCAAATTCAACATATCCACCCACTTCTACTATGAGACGGCCTGCCTTCACGGCTGTCACATAATGGTCGATTGCACCTTTACCCCCACCCATCCGCTGTCCCAGTCCCTTGCGGGTGATGGGCTTGTAAGGGGCAGGCACCCTCCAAACAGCAAACATCTTCCTCGGATTGATGTGCCGGTTGATAGTCAAGCGTATCATTTCAAAGTGACCCCAGCGGAGGTAGCCACCGCCCATAGCCTGCAGGCAAGGAAGAAAAAACCATGAAGCTTACAGTTCAGGGACAGGCAAAGATATTATGCTGAAGAGCTCTGAAAGCGCAAGGCAGAGAATCACTCTCCTCTTTTCCAGAGTATTTCTTCTGTGTAAAGAAGTCACTGCAGGAAGACTTGATCTCACACTCACCAGAATACCATACTGTCCTTCAGTGAATTCTGTGGCTTCTGTAGATGGGCCACGGATATCACGTAAATTCTTGAACTCACGCCTGACTTTGGGTACGTTTGGGGCTCTCTCTACGAACTTTAGTTTGGGTTTTTCAGGAATTTGAGTGCCTGGAAGGAAAAAAGTAATTGCATATTCACTTAACACTTTCTACAATCGTCTCCTGCCTGCTTTGTTCAGGTTCTGGGATTTCAGCTCCCGCCTCAAAGCTGGGCCCTCCGGCTTGTCAGTTCTATATGGAAGCACTTGAGGCAATGAGATCTGAAATACTCTCTCTCTGTCAGAACAAATCAGGAGAGAGGGAGAAGCTGGCTTTTCTTCCTCCACTAAACAAAACTGGTCAGATAATCCAAAAGTAAAAATACCCCAACAGCTGCTTTCAAAGTGACTTACAAATAAAATCAGATAAAACATCACTCCCAACAGCAAGGAGAGAGAAAACAATAAAAAGGCAGTAAATCATAGCAAGCTAGAATGAAATCAGATTTTTTTTGTCAGGATTTGAAATAGTTTTGCCTGGCACCTCCACAATCATTTAGGCACCAGGCAAGCATTTGGAAGGTCCAAACACACGGCAGGAAGGCCTTATTTCCAGCCGCCAGTCATCGAGAGATCGGCCTGCAATCATGAGCTCTCTGTGTGTGCACATGTTCATCCAGGAGAAAGTGGTCTTTCTGGTATCTAGGACCAAGCCACGTAAACTTTATAGGCGAGAATTGTACATAATTATACATAAAATGAACTGGAAGCCAGTGTAACTTTTGTACCACTGGTGTAAGATGTTCATGGTAACAAACTCCAGTCAACAACCTCATTACTGCACTTTGAAGTAGCTGAAACTTCTGAGGGGTCTGCAAAGGCATACGATGCACAACAGTAACACTATCCTTGTTGTGACCAGACCAGAGTTTTGTATTCACTCCTTTCTTCTGGAGACCAACGTAGACAAACAAGGATCCTGGAGACTGAGGTGCCTTGTTAAGGTAATATGTATCCTGGCCCTTGTTTGGAAGTAAATCCCACTGATCTCTAAGATTAATTTGGAGCTATTACTCACTTGTGTTAAAACAGCATTCTGAGATTAAGTTTTATCTCTTTCTGGTAAACATAGAAAATGTAGTTCTGATGGTAGCTAAATACTCTTCATACTAAATACAAATGCAGGAGCAAAAATAACAATGTAGAATGCTGCTCCAAGATGGCTGACATTTCTCTCCAGATGCCAATTGTTGCTTTGTCATGATATGGGCAAATCAGGGACAGGGATAGAGAAAACGCAATTCTACACCTGGCAATATCACCAGTATACTGACAAGAACAGTAATTGCAGGCCATGGGAACGGTGATTTTGCTTTGGCAAAAACGTTCATAAAAATAAGTTTTAAAGAGCCACGTATTTTAATGTGTTTGCTAAAAACGGCAGCTAGCCTACTTTGCATCTTTTTTTGCATAACTCTATTTACAGGCAACACCAGCAATTTACATAGCATCACCAGCAAATGTTCCATTTACTACAGTGGGCAGTACATTTAATACATTTCATGTCCCTTTGGAGAAGAGTAACAATTCAGTAATGCCCAGTGCAAGAGCTGTGTATCTCTAATACCAATTATCCTCCACAGTGCAGTGTTTGCATAGACCTAGCCACGTATCAAATGGATAGTGCTTTCAGATTTGACAGTCCCAATCACATGTTTGGAAGAACCTTCAACCCAGTCTCCTACTTCCTCCAAACAGGTCATAATGTGACCAAAACTGGCAGAGTGGTCCTCTCTCTTTAGTATTGTGTGTAATTCTGAAGCAGAACTCTAGTGTCAGAAACATCACACACAGTCTATATGCTGGATCATGAAATCCAGTGGTGGGAATCTCATGTGCATATGGTTCCTTGTTTAGTAGAAGGCCACATCTCTGTGGACAGGGGCTTTATTGGGAAGGGAGGAGGAAGATGAATAATCTCAATATAACTGGCTTTGTTTAATGAATACCTCTCAAGAGTAAATATGTCTTTTGGAAACCACAATACATTATCTGTCCCTTTCATGACATTTTAAGATGATGGTTAATGCCCAATTTACTTTTGCATTGTCTGTACAACTATTTTGGGTGAATGCCATCTATGCTTACCTACCTCATCCTGATGCCAATTAAAAACAGGAAAACAAAACCCATTTCATTCTTTATAAGTAACTTCCCTTATTATTTATTTATTTATTTATTTTTGGGATTTATATCCCGCCCTACCCAAGTGGCTCAGGGCGGCTAACAGGCGGCCATGCCGGATTAAAATATAAAATACAATAAAACATCATTACATACAGAATAAAATGGAGCTCTACAATTCACTAAGACTCCCCAAGATGTGCGATGACCCATATTGGCGGCCAGCGTTCTTAATGGTGTGAGCGCCAGGAGTAATGTTTCCCATCTCCGCCGGGCGACATCTACCCCCCTCCCAGTGATAGCGTAGATGATAAGATCGTATCACAGTGGTGGAATAGTGGTGGCGGCGGCTCCTACTCAAAAGCCTGGCGGAAGAGCTCCGTCTTGCAGGCCCTGCGGAACTGTAGAAGGTCCCGCAGGGCCTGGATCTCTGCCGGGAGCTCATTCCACCAGGTAGGAGCCGCCACCGAAAACGCCCTGGCCTTGGTTTGGGCCAACTTGATGTCACGGGGGCCTGGAACTTCCAGGAGGTGGAGATTCCCCGATCGCAGTGCTCTTGAGGGAACCTATGGGAAGAGGCGGTCCCTTAGGTAAGCTGGACCCTGGCCATTCAGGGCTTTAAAGGTAAGAACCAGCACTTTGAAACGAATCCGGTATGCTATCGGCAGCCAGTGCAGCGCTTGCAGCACCGGCCGGATCCCGCCTGGAGAGACCCATCAGCAGCCTAGCTGCAGCATTCTGCACTAGCTGTAGCTTCCGGATTTGCAACAAAGGCAGCGCCAAGTAGTGAGCGTTACAGTAGTCCAACCTCGAGGTGACCGTCGCGTGGATCACAGTGGCCAGGTCCTCACGGCTGAGGTAGGGGACCAACTGCCGGGCCAGCCGTAGATGGTAAAAGGCTGACTTGGCAGTGGCTGCTACCTGGGCCTCCATCGTTAACGAGGAGTCTAGGAGCACACCCAAACTCCTAACCTCCTGCATAGGCACCAAAGGCACCCCGCCAAAGGTCGGGAGAGGGAGCCCTAACCCCCAGCCGGTCCGACACAGGCCCAGGACCTCCGTCTTTGCCGGGTTTAGTTTCAACCGACTCAGTCTGAGCCAACCAGCCACAGCTTGTAATGCCCAAGAAAGATCCTCGGGACTAGAGTCCGACTGGCCGTTTAACATCAGGTAGAGCTGGCTATCATCAGCGTATTGATGACACCCAAGCCCACATCTCCGGGCAATCTGGGCGAGGGGGCGCATGTAGATGTTAAACAACATTGGGGACAACACGGCTCCCTGGGGCACCCCACATTCAAGGGAGTGCCTTCGGGACCATTGGAGGGCAAGCCCCTGAATCCCCATGTCGGCGAGGCGGCGGGCCAGCAACTGGTGGTCGACCATATCGAACGCGACCGACAGATCTAACAACACCAGTGCTGCCACGCCGCCTCGGTCCAGATGCCTACGGAGGTCATCAGTCAGCACGACCAGTACTGTCTCCATCCCGTGACCCAGGTGAAAGCCGGACTGGAAGGGATCGAGAATTATTCACCAACATACCACTATAATCTGGGGGAAGCGCATACTTCTTCAAGCCAGGAGTACAAATTTTGGTGCTACTGGAGCCTGAAAGGAACAAGAGAAGGCATAGCATCTAAAGTTAGTGCTAAGCAGAAATTGGAACAACAATATTGATAAAACATTCTACCTCTAAAATGCTAATAGTGTTCTCTCGGAAACCAAAACGAAGGGACAAAAATCTGTCATTTGCCTTAATGGGATGAAAAGATATATATTGTAAAATATACTCTGTAAAGAAACTAAGAACTCACAAGAGTAGAATATACACAACAGCAAAATGGAATATAATTCCTTGACCCTACTGAAGGCTGCATCGTATGCAAAGATTCCTAACAAGCTAATCCATTATACCCTATTTATGATTATCCAAAATACGAAAAAGAACCAGAAGGAAAAAAATGCCCCCATGCTGAGGATGAATAACCAGCTATCAGACAAATTTCCACAAGTAAGTGAATACTCCCACCCAGTGTTCCCTCTAAGGTGAGTTAGTGTGAGCCAGCTCACAGTTTTTTAGCCTCCGGCTCACACGTTTTTGTCTGAGCTCAGGAAGGAGGGCTCCAGAGCAAGCTAATTTATGCAGGAGCCAAATCACTCGCTCACACCTTTAAGGCCAGTAGCTCACAAAGTAGAATTTTTGCTCACAAGACTCCACAGCTTAGAGGGAACATTGCTCCCACCACAGAGAGAGAGAAGCAAGACAGAAGGGCCATTTCTGTCCTACAGACAAATTAGAACAGGGCATTTATTCCTCTAACAGTTATGCAAGAGACTTAGGTTCTGACCCTGCCTTACAAGTTGCACCCCTAGAAATAACCTCATCTACATAGTAATTATCAAAAGTACAAGAGACCTAGCTGTTGTATCTGAGCATCCCGGGCACCATCGCCAGCCACACATCAATTCCCCAGCAGATCAACCCACTTTATTCAGATGACAGTACTACCAAACGACGGGGTGACACCTATACATGAAACGTACTCAGTTCCTCCCCGCCTTTTAAAGGGATATACTAAAAGGATGGACAGGACTGCCCATTGGAAACGACGGGAGAGACTTGAAGGCCCATTGGAAATAATGGGAGCCAGGAGTGCCAATGGACTTGCGTGGGCTCCATTGGAATACAGTACAGCTCGAGAAGAGTTGCAAAGAAAATGCGGAATGGATTGTCCATTAAGGTCTCTGGTCCCAAATATACTGCTCTGGGACTGGAATGACAGGCCCCACAGTGGAATGACAGCCCCTGGGGGTAGCAGGTGTGTCCTGAGGGTGGAATGACAGCCCCTGGGGCTAGCAGGAGAGTTTTGGGACTGGAAAGAAAGGCTCCAGAGTGGAATGACAGCCAAGGGGGGTAGCAAGGGTGTTCAGGGAGTGGAATGACAGGTCCCAGAGTGAAATGGCAGGCCCCGGGGGTAGCAGGTGTGTCCTGAGGGTGGAAGGACAGGCCCCACAGTGGAATGACATCCCTGGGGCCTAGCAGGTGTGTCCTGAGGGTGGAATGACAGCCCCTGGGGCTAGCAGGAGAGTTTTGGGACTGGAAAGAAAGGCTCCAGAGTGGAATGACAGCCAAGGGGGGTAGCAAGGGTGTTCAGGGAGTGGAATGACAGGTCCCAGAGTGAAATGGCAGGCCCTGGGGGTAGCAGGTGTGTCCTGAGGGTGGAATGACAGCCCCTGGGGCTAGCAGGAGAGTTTTGGGACTGGAAAGAAAGGCTCCAGAGTGGAATGACAGCCAAGGGGGGTAGCAAGGGTGTTCAGGGAGTGGAATGACAGGTCCCAGAGTGAAATGGCAGGCCCTGGGGGTAGCAGGTGTGTCCTGAGGGTGGAATGACAGCCCCTGGGGCTAGCAGGAGAGTTTTGGGACTGGAAAGAAAGGCTCCAGAGTGGAATGACAGCCAAGGGGGGTAGCAAGGGTGTTCAGGGAGTGGAATGACAGGTCCCAGAGTGAAATGGCAGGCCCTGGGGGTAGCAGGTGTGTCCTGAGGGTGGAATGACAGCCCCTGGGGCTAGCAGGAGAGTTTTGGGACTGGAAAGAAAGGCTCCAGAGTGGAATGACAGCCAAGGGGGGTAGCAAGGGTGTTCAGGGAGTGGAATGACAGGTCCCAGAGTGAAATGGCAGGCCCTGGGGGTAGCAGGTGTGTCCTGAGGGTGGAATGACAGCCCCTGGGGCTAGCAGGAGAGTTTTGGGACTGGAAAGAAAGGCTCCAGAGTGGAATGACAGCCAAGGGGGGTAGCAAGGGTGTTCAGGGAGTGGAATGACAGGTCCCAGAGTGAAATGGCAGGCCCTGGGGGTAGCAGGTGTGTCCTGAGGGTGGAATGACAGCCCCTGGGGCTAGCAGGAGAGTTTTGGGACTGGAAAGAAAGGCTCCAGAGTGGAATGACAGCCAAGGGGGGTAGCAAGGGTGTTCAGGGAGTGGAATGACAGGTCCCAGAGTGAAATGGCAGGCCCTGGGGGTAGCAGGTGTGTCCTGAGGGTGGAATGACAGCCCCTGGGGCTAGCAGGAGAGTTTTGGGACTGGAAAGAAAGGCTCCAGAGTGGAATGACAGCCAAGGGGGGTAGCAAGGGTGTTCAGGGAGTGGAATGACAGGTCCCAGAGTGAAATGGCAGGCCCTGGGGGTAGCAGGTGTGTCCTGAGGGTGGAATGACAGCCCCTGGGGCTAGCAGGAGAGTTTTGGGACTGGAAAGAAAGGCTCCAGAGTGGAATGACAGCCAAGGGGGGTAGCAAGGGTGTTCAGGGAGTGGAATGACAGGTCCCAGAGTGAAATGGCAGGCCCTGGGGGTAGCAGGTGTGTCCTGAGGGTGGAATGACAGCCCCTGGGGCTAGCAGGAGAGTTTTGGGACTGGAAAGAAAGGCTCCAGAGTGGAATGACAGCCAAGGGGGGTAGCAAGGGTGTTCAGGGAGTGGAATGACAGGTCCCAGAGTGAAATGGCAGGCCCTGGGGGTAGCAGGTGTGTCCTGAGGGTGGAATGACAGCCCCTGGGGCTAGCAGGAGAGTTTTGGGACTGGAAAGAAAGGCTCCAGAGTGGAATGACAGCCAAGGGGGGTAGCAAGGGTGTTCAGGGAGTGGAATGACAGGTCCCAGAGTGAAATGGCAGGCCCTGGGGGTAGCAGGTGTGTCCTGAGGGTGGAATGACAGCCCCTGGGGCTAGCAGGAGAGTTTTGGGACTGGAAAGAAAGGCTCCAGAGTGGAATGACAGCCAAGGGGGGTAGCAAGGGTGTTCAGGGAGTGGAATGACAGGTCCCAGAGTGAAATGGCAGGCCCTGGGGGTAGCAGGTGTGTCCTGAGGGTGGAATGACAGCCCCTGGGGCTAGCAGGAGAGTTTTGGGACTGGAAAGAAAGGCTCCAGAGTGGAATGACAGCCAAGGGGGGTAGCAAGGGTGTTCAGGGAGTGGAATGACAGGTCCCAGAGTGAAATGGCAGGCCCTGGGGGTAGCAGGTGTGTCCTGAGGGTGGAATGACAGCCCCTGGGGCTAGCAGGAGAGTTTTGGGACTGGAAAGAAAGGCTCCAGAGTGGAATGACAGCCAAGGGGGGTAGCAAGGGTGTTCAGGGAGTGGAATGACAGGTCCCAGAGTGAAATGGCAGGCCCTGGGGGTAGCAGGTGTGTCCTGAGGGTGGAATGACAGCCCCTGGGGCTAGCAGGAGAGTTTTGGGACTGGAAAGAAAGGCTCCAGAGTGGAATGACAGCCAAGGGGGGTAGCAAGGGTGTTCAGGGAGTGGAATGACAGGTCCCAGAGTGAAATGGCAGGCCCTGGGGGTAGCAGGTGTGTCCTGAGGGTGGAATGACAGCCCCTGGGGCTAGCAGGAGAGTTTTGGGACTGGAAAGAAAGGCTCCAGAGTGGAATGACAGCCAAGGGGGGTAGCAAGGGTGTTCAGGGAGTGGAATGACAGGTCCCAGAGTGAAATGGCAGGCCCTGGGGGTAGCAGGTGTGTCCTGAGGGTGGAATGACAGCCCCTGGGGCTAGCAGGAGAGTTTTGGGACTGGAAAGAAAGGCTCCAGAGTGGAATGACAGCCAAGGGGGGTAGCAAGGGTGTTCAGGGAGTGGAATGACAGGTCCCAGAGTGAAATGGCAGGCCCTGGGGGTAGCAGGTGTGTCCTGAGGGTGGAATGACAGCCCCTGGGGCTAGCAGGAGAGTTTTGGGACTGGAAAGAAAGGCTCCAGAGTGGAATGACAGCCAAGGGGGGTAGCAAGGGTGTTCAGGGAGTGGAATGACAGGTCCCAGAGTGAAATGGCAGGCCCTGGGGGTAGCAGGTGTGTCCTGAGGGTGGAATGACAGCCCCTGGGGCTAGCAGGAGAGTTTTGGGACTGGAAAGAAAGGCTCCAGAGTGGAATGACAGCCAAGGGGGGTAGCAAGGGTGTTCAGGGAGTGGAATGACAGGTCCCAGAGTGAAATGGCAGGCCCTGGGGGTAGCAGGTGTGTCCTGAGGGTGGAATGACAGCCCCTGGGGCTAGCAGGAGAGTTTTGGGACTGGAAAGAAAGGCTCCAGAGTGGAATGACAGCCAAGGGGGGTAGCAAGGGTGTTCAGGGAGTGGAATGACAGGTCCCAGAGTGAAATGGCAGGCCCTGGGGGTAGCAGGTGTGTCCTGAGGGTGGAATGACAGCCCCTGGGGCTAGCAGGAGAGTTTTGGGACTGGAAAGAAAGGCTCCAGAGTGGAATGACAGCCAAGGGGGGTAGCAAGGGTGTTCAGGGAGTGGAATGACAGGTCCCAGAGTGAAATGGCAGGCCCTGGGGGTAGCAGGTGTGTCCTGAGGGTGGAATGACAGCCCCTGGGGCTAGCAGGAGAGTTTTGGGACTGGAAAGAAAGGCTCCAGAGTGGAATGACAGCCAAGGGGGGTAGCAAGGGTGTTCAGGGAGTGGAATGACAGGTCCCAGAGTGAAATGGCAGGCCCTGGGGGTAGCAGGTGTGTCCTGAGGGTGGAATGACAGCCCCTGGGGCTAGCAGGAGAGTTTTGGGACTGGAAAGAAAGGCTCCAGAGTGGAATGACAGCCAAGGGGGGTAGCAAGGGTGTTCAGGGAGTGGAATGACAGGTCCCAGAGTGAAATGGCAGGCCCTGGGGGTAGCAGGTGTGTCCTGAGGGTGGAATGA